CCTTGTAGAAATCTGTACTTAACTGGGCTTTCGCGACAAAACACAAGGCAAAGAACGTGATCATTGCCAAAGAGTAACGACGGCTAAAATTAATCGATGACCTTGTCATGGTTACTTAAGAGGTGACACACTTAATGCTAATCAATATGGTTAAGGGCTACTTAAGTTGTATGATCAGACATTCCTTGAACTCCATTTATAGCCACGATTATGCGTAAAACAACAATTTTTTAATGGCTGCTTTAGATTTTGGCCCTTACAATTCATGATTCCTAGATAAAAACCCATCTACATATAAACGTCGAATAAAAGCCCAAATTTAAAATATGCAGCCACATTGGAACACTATTGACCTACTAATACAATTTATTTACATCCATGCCACTTTCCCAAATACCTAAATTTATTCCAAATTAAAAGTTGTAGAAAAAGTGAAATAAAATATATAAACTGTTGTATTGCATTAATTGTATCCATATCATACCAAAAATTTACCTTTACCTTTTTAGTGATATATATGTATATATTTTGCATTGATTGGGAAGTAAATTAATTTGTTCCAATAATTAAAAAAAATTATACTAAATCTGTATTATATAGGTAAATTATTTTTCATGTATTGTTACATTTATTAGGCACGTTTTATTGTTGTATAAATATAGGTATGACATAATATTTTTCAATATAATTATGGGTTAATTATTCTCCATGTATTAGTGAAAAAAAGATATTATATTACACACGGGGTATAATTTTTTGTAGGTAAATTATTGGAAATTAATTTGTAGGTAGGTAAATTAATTTGTTCCAATTATATATATATACACTACACCTAGATTATATATATATATATATATATATATATATTTTTTTTTTTTTTTTTTTTTTGAGAAAACCTAGATTATATATTTTGAATCAAATAACATTTTTGTATACATGGTAGGTAAATTATTTTTCATGTATTATTACATATATTAGCCTATCAGGGACCTTTTTTTGGTAAAAATATATAAAGTAATATTTATATGATTGTTTGTAGGTAAAAGATAAAATCAAAAGCATGATCCAATTCCAAAGTTTATGCAATATTTTGTTGTTGGTATACAATATTTTGCATAATTGGAAATGAACATTTCAAATAGTAAGCAGGTAAATTAATATGGTCTAATTATATAAATACACACACACACACATATATATATTTATATTTATACACATTTTGAATCAAATAACATTTTTGTACATGGTACGTAAATTACTTTTTTTTAATGTATTATTACATATATTAGGTTTTTTTTTTGTAAATATATATATATATATATATTTATTAACTCATAATGCCAGATACATAGAATTAAGCCAACAATTCTCATATTTGATATTAATATGCAATGAATTTTTTAACATTAATGTCTTATTTTCTATTTTTGCGAAATCATTAACTCTCTCCTTACAATCTGCATAGAATTAATTGTGCACATTAAGTATGCAATAGGGGTATTTTAGGCATATAAAAATGTAAAATGTGTAAAGTAATATGTAATTAATGAATTCACTTAGGTGGATCCTAGTCACTGGGTTTTTTTTGAGTAAAAAAATTATGTTGGGTTTTATATGGAAAAATTTGAATTTGAGGGGTTAAAGTCATATTTTCAGTTTTTTAATTAACTATACAGTAGTGTATAATTTTGTTTATCTAGTTGAAAACTAGCTAGCTGCTAGTGCTTATGATGTATGGCGGCAGCACTCAGTGCTTGACTGCTTAGTTGCCTTCATGAACTCAGAAAACTGCACTGAGAGTGTGAGACTGATATTAATTAGCATAATCTCAAGAGATTAGTGCATTTAATATTGCCGACAATGCGGATAACTGAAAGAGTGGTGGCCTAATTGCTCTCAGTTGTACGCTTATAATATAAGAATTTGATTTCTATATGCAAGTTCATGAACGACAGAAGATTGACAAAGCATACTGTATACGATATAGTGCATGCCTACAGAAAGCCAACTGGTTTTTTGCTACCACTTTGGCGCGCGCATGATTAAATTATGCTTGCATTAAGAATTTTTTAACAATAAAATAAAGCTGAGCATGCAATATGACCAACTTAAAATTAAAATTATTTTCACTTGATCATAGTGATTTCTTAGTAATGGTCTGTAAAAATGTTAAGTTGGAATTGAAAGCATCTTTATCCCTGTTGATAAGAGTTGACATTTTGGGGAAGCATGCAGCTCACAGAGTGCCATGTCTGAGGGCACTACATTGCCATTTTGTCTCTTCTTCTTTTCCTACCCCTGTTTCCTCCAATGAATGCAAAAGACCAACAATTTAGAGACTAATAGCAACTTCACGAAATTAAACATTAATTGGTTGAGCACCAAGTTTTTTCGACGTTTAATTATCGTTATTGGTACATGTAAGCCCACGTTTTTTTGCGAAATTTACAAATTTTTATTTTTGCGAAATATTTTCTATCATGATTAAGAATTTTTTAGAAGGTACTTAAAATTGGTTTTATCATTTATTGAGTTACAAATATATATATATATATATATATATATATATTATAATATTAAAATGAAAGCAGAAAATAAATGGACAAAAATAATAGTTGTGACATCCCACATCGCCCAGGGGAGTGATCCTTAAATGTATATTCTCATCCCTACCTAGCACGAGGCCTTTTGGAAGCTCATTGGGAAGTTGCTCGTGACCCATTGGGAAGTTGCTTGTGAGTTCCCAAAAACAAAACCGTGAGGGTGTGGTCGGGGCCCAAAACGGACAATATCGTGTTACGGTGGTGGAGCGGGTCCGGGAAGTGGTTCGCCCCGGGCCGGGATGTGACAATAGTGGGGCCCAAAACTTTGTTGAAACAGGACTCCAGCCACAAGAATATCTACAAAAGGTCTTACATAAATTTTCAAAGTCACGGTGTGGTGACGGTGAAAACATATAGATTTTATAACAATTTCTAAATAATAGAATATTTAAGACAAAACACTGAAAAATGAATGGACAAAAATAGTAGTGGAGCCCAAAACATTGCCAAAACAGGACTGCATCTACAATAATATCAATAATAAGTCTTATATGGATTTTTGAAACCTCATGGTGCTGTGAAGTGAAACCAAGTAGATTTTACGACGATTTTTGTACAAATTAACAAAATCTCCTAGAAACTGTGATGGTTAGCCCACGTTCTTTTGAAACAAGAAAATTTTTATTTTTCCAAAATATATTTTGTCATGATTAAGAGTAACTTTATAGTGCAATTGAAAGTAGTTTTACTATTTACTGAGCTACAAATATATTTTTAATTGAATATTTCAGACGAAAATTGAAAAATAAGTTGACAAAACTAGTAATAAGGCCCAAACATTGCCAAAGCGGGACTCCATGCACAAGAATATCAATAAAAAATCTTACATAAATTTTCAAAACATCACGGAGCAGTGAAGATGAAAGCAAGTAGATTTTACAACAAGTTTTGTACAAATTTGCAGATTCGCCTAGAAACCGTGACGTTTTTTTTTTTTAAAGAAAATGTCATTCTTATAGTTTTGTGAGCCAGAAGTGTATTTTTAATAGAATATTTAAGCCAAAAATTGAAAATAAATTGACAAAAATTGTAGTGGGGCCCAAAACATTACCGAAACGGGACTTCATCCACAAGAATATTAATAAAAGTCTTACATAAATTTTCAAAAACTCACCGAGCAGTGATAGAAAATAGATTTTACGACGATTTTTGTACAAATTTGCAAAATTGCCTAGAAACTGTGAAAGTTAGCCCACGTTATTTTGGGGAAAATGTAAATTTTTTGTTTTTTGCAAATATTTTCCGTCATGATTAAGAGTAACTTTATAAAGCAATTGAATTTTTATGTTTGTCGAATATGGAAATTGAAATTGGTTTTACTATTTCTTCAGCCACAATTGAATTTTTATTAGAATATTTAAGCCAAAAACTTAAAAATAAATGGACAAAAAATGTGGTGATGCTCAAAACATTGGCAAAACGGGACTCCATCTACAAGAATATTAACAAAAAATCTTGCACGAATATTCTAAACCTCAAAGTGGGTGAAGATGAAAATAAATAGATTTGACGACAATTTTTATAAAAAATTGCAAAATCGCCAAGAAATCGTGATAACGCCCATGTTTTTTTTTTTGAGAAAAATGCAAATTTTTTATTTTTTCTGAAATATTTTCCGTCATGATTAAGAGTAACTGTATAAGGCAATTGGAAACGGTTTTACCATTTATTGAGCCACAAATGTATTTTTTGGAGAATATTCAAGCCCTAAACTTAAAAATAAATGGACAAAAATTGTAGTGAGGCCTAAAACATTGGCGAAACGAATTGCATCTACAAGAATATTAACAACAAGTCTTATATGAATATTCAAAACGTCACAATGCGGTGAAGGTGAAAACATATAGAATTCACGACATTTTTTTGTACAAATTTGTAAAATCGCCTAGAAACCGTGATGTGGGCTAATAATTATTTGGGTGGCGTGTAGCTTGATATGAAACCTATAAGTCTTGGATGCATTACAACAATCTACAATATAGAAGGATTGGTTCACTAGCTACAAATAGTACCGATACCTTTTAAGATAAAACTCAACATTGACATAGAATTATAATATAGCCCTAATGAACCCAATATTTGGACTAGGGTGATTGAGCACAATATCAGTACTAAGTAGTGGGCTCACGCCGTTGCACAACAATTTGGTTAGGTAGCCTCTTGCCTGGACTTGGAACTCAGATATCTTGAGTGAGAGCTGGGTACGTATCCATTCTTGCCATATATATTAAGTTAATTATTTCAAAAAGCAAGGGGATTGTATATCAAGAGTACCAAATGCATGTTCATTCAGGCTCCACTTCTCTTATTTATCAACAAGCAGAGGTCACATAGTTTTACGATGTTTGAGATACTAATTTATGGACGAATATTGATACTAAATGGAGCTTACCGCATCTATGAATTAACCGCTCTGCAATTCTTCCGAATTTGTCCACTCAAACCAGTAAGTGGACTAATATTTCCCATCTTGATCATGGACTTAACAACGTCATCAAAGAAAAGCTTAGGGTTTCTTCTGTAGCTGTCAACAAGAGCTCTGGTCATCATTGAAACGGATTCATCATCACTACTAAATAGAATTTGGTCAGAACGAAGAAGACCCTTTCCATCGAGTAAGTTCTGGAAGTAGTGGTTGTCAAATAGATCATTCGAATTTTGGTCAAGCGCCGATACTTCGTTGCCATCGCCATTCACAAGACATACATGTTGCATATCAGATAGCATGGTTTTTTCAATTGTACTATCTGGACCTCCAGTGTTCGAGAAGTTCCAAAGTCTTTTGCTGAAAATGGCACACCTAGCTCTTCCAATTGTATGGGCACCTATGTACACACTGTAAAGATACTAGTACTTGCAGATTTGAGAGAGATGAGAGAAAGAGAGATTTGTTTTAGTAAAATTGCTTTGTTTTTGTTCAGTCGTGAAGGTTTACAATGATCACCTATATAGGTGTTTTAGTATAAAGCTTGTAGAGCAAGTATTCCTTGTTAACTACCTTCTTATATCAACTAACTTTATCTCTAACCAACTTTATCCAAGTCCACCAGATTCTAACTACTAACTATATGCATAACAACCTATTTAATCTCTTGACAAGTGGCTTTATTTTGACCATTGATAATCTCATCACTTGGATCACAATCTTGCACCTTATCCTTCTTACATCCCCCTGCAATCTGATGCTCAAGGGCACTGAGCATGAGATTGCTGCAATGCTGTTGAAACAATGGTGCATATAAGCTTTTTGTAAGAATATTTGAGATTGATCTGTTGAAGACACATGTTGAACTTGAAGATTTCCTTGAGTGACTCTCTCCCGCACAAAATGATAGTCTATTTCAATGTGTTTAGACTTAGCATGAAACACAGGATTGGTAGATAGTGCTATGGCCAAAACATTATCACAGTACATCATGGGAGGGGAATGTAAAGATATATGCATATGACAGAATAGTTGTCGAATCCATGCAAGTTGAGCAGTTGTGATTGCTAGGGCTCGATACTCAGCTTCGGTAGAGGATCGAGAAACAATGTGTTGTTTTTTAGATGCCCAAGAAATAGGATTTGAACCAAGAAACACAACAAAACTTGAAGTCGATCTCCTATCATTTGGATCACCTGCCCAATTGGCATCACTATAAGCTTGTAGATGCATTGGTCCTAGTTTGAAATGAATACCATATGTAGATGTTCCTTTAAGGTATCGAATGATTCTTTTCACTACAATAACATGTGAAACCATAGGATTGTGCATGAACTGGCAAGCTTAATTAACTGAAAATGAGATGTCAGGTCTAGTAAAAGTAAGGTACTGAAGTGCCTAAACAACACTCCTATATTGCTCAGGAATATGATAAGGCTTGCTATCATCCTTGAGTAACCTGTGATAGGGGAGACATGGTGTGGCACATTGTTTAGACTCCAGTAAATCAACTTTATTGACTAACTCATTGATATACTTGGTCTGTGATACAAACAATCCTTCTGAGGTATAACTATTCTGCAATCCCATAAAGTAGTGTAATAAACCCAAATCCTGCTTTTCAAACTCTGCAGTGAGAGCTGTGATAACTTGACTGATCAAGTGAGAGCTGCTACATGTGAGAATAACATCATCAACATACAATAACAATAACACTGTTCCCTATGAAGACTGCTGCATAAACAAAGATGAATCAGCATTTGAGACTTGAAACCCCAAACTTGGTAAAAAACTGGTGAACCTTTCATTCCATGCTCGAGGAGCCTGTTTTAGGCCATATAGTGATTTGTAAAGTTTACAGACATAGTTTGAGGGATGATTTACACTTCAAAACCCGGAGTTTGTGCCATATAAACTTCCTCTTGAAGTATGCCATGTAGAAAGGCATTTTTGACATCGAGCTGCCTGAGAGACCACTTGAATTGAGCAGCTAAGGCAAAGATCAAACTTATAGTTGTAGGTTTCACCACAGGGCTAAATGTTTCCAGATAATCAACACCATCTTCTTGGCTATACCTTTATGCTACAAGCAGTGCCTTATACCTTGCCACAGACCCATCTGCATTTTTCTTTATTTTGTAGATCCATTTGCATCCAACTAAATTCTTATCAGGTGGTAATGGAACTAAAGATCAAGTCTTTTGAGAATGAAGAGCTGTTATTTCTTCTTGCATTGCAATCTGCCATTCTCGAACTTGTGAGGCAGCTTTGAAGGTTTTTGGTTCGGAAGTAACAGTAACTGAGAAAGCCTTCTTTTGGAACACCTCATTCTTGAACCTTGTTTGCATAGGATGTACATTCTGTGGTATTGGCAAAACAACATTTAGGTGCTCATGTTGAAAATCAGGATCCACAGGGATAGGGTGCTGTGTACTGGAACTGATTGGGGATAAGTGATGTAGTGAAGAAGCACATGGTATGTTTGATGTAGGATTTGCAGTTGGAGGTATAGAAATAAACTCCAGAGCACTAGATGCAATTGTTTTCAAAGAATCTGAGGCTCTAGATGCAGACAAAGATTCTGAAGCACTAGATGAATGCATATTCAAAGAATTTGTGGTCTGAGATGATAATGAATGAGATGAGTGTGAAAGTGAATGCAATGAAGGTTGTAATGCTTGATTTGTTAATGTGATTATTAGAGGTAACTGAGGTGAATGTACTGGAGGATTTGGTGAATGTAATTGTGATGATGCAAAAGACAATTTTAAGTGTTGAAATAAACCAGGGTTTGAATATGGAAAAGTAGATTCATCAAACAAAGCATGCCTGGCCACATAAATTTTACCATTAGCAATATTTAGACATATAAAACCCTTATATTGGCCTACATATCCCAAAAACACACAAGTTGCTGTTTTAGGCTGAAGTTTAGAAGTGTTATAAGGTTTTAAAAGGGGAAACATGCACAACCAAAGACCCTAAGATGTTTGATCTCAGGAAATGTGTTATATAACTTTTGAAATGGTGAGTGCATATTTAAAGAAGCATAAGGCATCTTATTGATCAGATAGGAGGTAGTAGCACATGCATGAAACCAAAATTGGGTAGGCAAGTTTGCAGTTTGAAGAAGTGTAATTGTTGTTTCTACAAGATGCCTATGTTTCCTTTCTGCCAAACCATTCTGTTCAGGTGTATATGGACATGATTTGTGATGTAAAATACCATGTTTTGACCAAAATTGTTGAAACTTATTGCTTGTATATTCACCACCACCATCACTTTGAAATATTTTGACTATAACAGAAAACTGGGTACACAAATAGGCATGAAACTGAACAAAGATTGCAAAAACTTATGATTTATTTCTTAATGGAAAAATCCATGTGTATCGAGTACAATCATCTATGAATGTTACATAATACCTAAACCCTTCATAAGATAGTAAAGGGGCAAGTCCCCATACATCACTGTGTATTTTCTTTAAAGGTTGTGCAGATTTGGTTACAGGAAAATTAAATGGTAACTTGGTGAACTTTCCCTTTAAACATGGTGTACATATTGAGGAGTATGTGTCTAGTGATGCAGGAACTTGAGATTGAAGTAGAATTGCAAAAGTAATTGCATTGGATGTGTGTCCTAGTCGTTTGTGCCATATGCTTGAATTAACTGGTTTTGCAAGGAAGCATGAATAAGATGCAGGTGATGTAGGTGACTGCTTCTATGAAATAGTGAATGGAATAGGGTAGTAACCAGCTTTACACAGCCCCTTGAGTAGTATTTTCCTTGTGGATTTGTCTAGAACCCAAAAAGAAACATCATCACAAATGAATCTGCACCTATTGTCCTTGCAGAGTTGAAAATGGATAACAAATGCTGAGAAAGTTTGGGAACATGTAAGACATTCTTAAGAGTGAGGGAATGTTGTGGTAACACCAATTTAGAAGTACCAATATTAGAAATTTGCAAACCTGCACCGCTTGTAGTGGTAATTGTATCAGTTCCTTGATATGGGGTAGGCATATCCAAGTTTGCCAATTCCGAGGTCATGTGTGATGTAGCACTAATGTCTGCAACCCAAAACTGTTCAGATGGTGCTGAAGGTTGATGATTGGCATGCATAGTAGTGAGATTGACATTTGGAGGCCTGCCTTGATATGCAAAGTTGCTTCTGTGGTAACATTGGAGGGCTGAATGTCCATATTTCCAACATATTTGACATTGAGTAGGAGAGCTCGAAGTTGTGTTAGTATGTCTTTGAAAATAATCTGCAGCAACATAACCTTTCTTTTTGCATATTTGACAAATAGGAAAATTAGAATGATGATCCGAGCAGTTCGATTGATATGGCTTTGGAGTACCAAGAATGCTAGGATTACCATTGGGAAACCATGTACTAGAATTGTATTGAAATCTTCATCTACCTTTACCTCTGAAATTATTGCCCTTATAGCTCCCATAGTTATGATAACCCTCATTGAAATTGTTATAAGACCCATTTCCATGATTATGATTTGTAGAACTTGATCCTTCACTATGCTTGAAAGACTAATCAGAAGAAGATCTTAATTGCTCATTATCGATAACAAGTGATTTCCCTTTGTTAGATTGAATTCTAGCAACCATGGCACTGCCAAAAGATAGTCCAAAAGAACTGTCAAATGATTGCTCAATAATGGCTTCTTCTGCCAAGAGTTGAGATCTGAAATCCTTGAAAGATATTCCATTCTCCCTTCCTCTGCCCACACAATGGAATGTGATGAATTCTGTGGGTAAGCCTTTCAATGCAAGTATGATAATATCATCATCATCATCAAAGAGTACTCCAGCTGCAGCAAGATGGTCTCTTGCATCTTTGATCTTTTGGAGATAGATCGAAACTGATTCTGACCCTTTCTTGATATTCTGCAGCTTTGTCTTCATCTGAAAGATTGTAGCTTTTGTTACCGCAGAGAACCTTTCAGTGAGATTCAACCACATCTCAGAAGAACTCTTGCTCCCAATGATGCAATAAATGGCAGTCGAGGATAATGTGGCAATGAGTAATTGCATTAATGCACGATCATGCATTTTCCAGACCAAGTAGTCATCATTTTCAACCCCTTCAGTGTTAGAATCATCGTTAAATCTTGGTGGGCACTTTCTTGACCCATCAACGAACCCCATAATTCCATGGCTTTCCAAAAGCAATCGGACCTGAAAGTTCCAAGTGAGGTAGTTTGAGTCATCAAGTTTTACTATAACAAAAGTGGAGACTATAAAGAGAAGATTAGTGATAGGTGACTGAACAATTTGCAACTGAGCAGCAGTGACCATTTTTGCAGAATTTTTGCAGAAAATTTTCGCTGAGGCTTTTGATCGAACAGTTGGTGGACGAACAAGAAGAAACCAACTTTCTGA